CCTTGCTATTGCCAATATGGCGTCCGCGCATGCGCGGTAGCCCTTTTCCATTGCCAATATGGCGGCCGCGCATGCGCGGTTGCCCCTTGCCCTTGCCAAGATGGCGGCCGCACATGCGCGGAAACCCCCCGTCCTTGCCAATATGGCGGCCGCGCATGCGCGGTAGCCTCTTGCCCTTGCCAATATGGCTACCGCGCATGCGCGGTAGCCCCCCGCCCTTGCCAATATGGCGGCCGGGCATGCGCGGCAGCCCCTTGCCCTTGCTAATATGGCGGCCGCGCATGCGCAGTAGGCCCCTGCCCTTGCCAATATGGCGGCCGCGCATGCGCCATAGCCCACTTGCCCTTACCAATATGGCGCCCGCGCATGCGCGGTAGCCCCCCGCCCTTGCCAATATGGCGGCGGCGCATGCGCGGTAGCCATTTGCCCTTGCCAATATGGTGGCCGCGCATGCGCGGTAGCCCCTTGCCCTTACCAATATGGCGGCGGCGTATGCGCGGTAGCCATTTGCCCTTGCCAATATGGCGGCCGCGCATGCGCGGCAGCCCCTTCCCCTTACCAATATGGCGGCTGCGCATGCTCGGCAGCCCCTTGCCCTTGCCAATATGGCGGCCGCGCATGCGCTGCAGCCCCTTGCCCTTGCCAATATGGCGGCCGCGCATGCTCAGTAGGCCCCCGCCCTTGCCAATATGGCGGCCGCGCATGCGCGTTAACCGCTTGCCCTTTCCACGTTCGCGGCCGCGCATTCGCGATTGCCGCCCTTCTTGCAAACATGGCGGCCGCGCATGCCCGGTATCCCTCCGCCCTTGCCAATATGGCGGCCGCGCATGCGCAATCGCCCCCCGCCCTTGCCAATATGGCGGCCGCGCATGCGCGGTAGCCCGTTGCCCTTGCCAATATGGCGGCCGCGCATGCGCGGTAGCCCTYTGCCCTTGCCAATATTGCGGCCGCACACGCGCAGTATCCCTCCGCCCTTGCCAATATGGCGGCCGCGCATGCGCGGTAGCCCCTTGCCCTTCCCAATATTGCGGCCGCGCACGCGCGTTAGCCCTTTGCCCTTGCCAATATGGCGGCCGCGCATGTGCGGTAGCCCCCCGCCCTTGCCAATATGGAGGCCGCGCATGCGCTGTAGCCCCCCGCCCTCTCCAATATGGCGTCCGCGCATGCGCGGTAGCCCCTTGCCCTTGCCAACATCGCTGCCGCGCATCCACAGTAGCCCATTGCCCTTACCAATATGGCGGCCGCGCATGCGCAATCGCCCCCCGCCCTTGCCAATATGGCGGCCGCGCATGCGCGGTAGCCCTTTGCCCTTGCCAATATTGCGGCCGCACACGCGCAGTAGCACTTTGCCCTTGCCAATATGGTGGCCGCGCATGCGCGGTAGCCCTTGTCCCTTGCCAATATGGCGGCCGCGCATGCGCGGTAGCCCCCTGCCCTCGCCAATATGGCGGCCGCACATGCGTGGTAGCTCCTTTCCCTTGCCAATATGGCAGCCGCGCATGCGCGGTAGCCCATTGCCCTTGCCAATATGGCGGCCGCGCATGCGCTGTAGCCTCTTGCCCTTGCCAATATGTCGGCCGCTCATGTGCGGTAGCCCCCCGCCCTTGCCAATATGGCGGCCGTGCATGCGCGGTAGCCCCTTGCCCTTGCCAATATGGCGGCCGGGCATGCGCGGTAGCCCCTTGCCCTTGCCAATATGGCGGCCGCGTATATGCGGTAGCCCCTTGCCCTTGCCAATATGGCCGCCGAGCATGCGTGGTAGCCCCTTGCCCTTGCCAATATGGCGGCCGCGCATGCGCGGTAGCCCCCCGCCCTTGCCAATATGGCGGCCGTGCATGCGCGTTAACCCCTTGCCCTTTCCAATTTCGCGGCCGCGCGTTCGCGATTGCCGCCCTTCTTGCAAACATGGCGGCCGCGCATGC